TCGAACTTTTAAAATTATCATCTATTTCATTATTTTTGGTCCAGGGCTACGTTTTTATGAAAGGCGATCCTATATTATTAATAAATAAACATTTATTTAAAAAGAAAACAATAAATTAAATATTATTTAAAATATCATTATTGGCCAGAGCAATTTTATGCCAGAAAACGCAAAATAATATTAGTGGAAAGAAATTCTGTTCACGAATGATAAAACTCGAAAAACCTATATTTTCCAAAATGAGAGGACAAAAACGCATTTTTGATACAAAATTATTCCTAAAATTGAAATATATAGTATAAATGTATATAATTTAAAAAAAATTAACAGAATTATTATTCCATAATTAAATCATAATGTATTAATATATCATTTTAGTAGTTTAAAACATTATTGATCGGAAAATTAGTGATTATTCTCTTTTTTCCAGTGAAATGAACTTATTTTAAATTAATATAACTATAATTTAAAGCATAAAATATCTATCAACATGTGTAGTTAATTAATTGCCTTGATACTGGTATATATACAGTATCAAGGCAATTTTTTAAATTTGCGCAAATTCAATACTTTATTCATCATCACAATACAGTTTGTGCTGTCTCAACATAGCATAACAGAACACTAGTTTTGAAACATTTTTTACAGTCAACCTATTCCGAATTTTAGAATGTACAAATGAAAAATTCGAAAATACTCTTTCAATGGCAGCACTAGTAGAAGGACATGAGTGTAAATGAGACATTAATTCACAAAATTCTCTGGAAATTTCACAAGAATTTTGCACACTCCACCACCATTTACTATCATCAACTGTGGCTGTAACTTGCTCTGAGAATTATGATTTAGGGAATAGTTTTTCTTGTAATTCAAAATTCAAGGCATATGAAACAAATGATGGATTTATTCCTGCAAGAAATTCTCTGGCCTTCTCTTTCTGTACATTGCTGAGAAGCTGCCCTTTATATTTTGGGTGAAATAAATAAGCAAGAAGGTGCCAAGGTAAATTGATTGCACAAATCTTTTTGTTACTTGTATTTTATAAAGCTGTAAATTGTCATCTTCTAACAATTTACACCATATATGGCAAGCATCTGCTATTGTTGTTGAATTGGTCTGTAGAATGTTCAAGGCATTTGAAACTGGTTCTAGTTGTTTCATAAAATCTTTTACTTGTTGCAAAAGGTTGAAATCACGCATGCGAGTAACAATGTTTTGATCCATCTCTTTTAGATGATCATTTGTGACTTTTGTGTGAGAGTTATGATTACGCTCATATGTTTGCAGGCATGCTAACTGGCTTAATATTTAAGGATTCAAATTATTTAAGGATTAATTTATTTAAGGATTCAAAATGAAAAGAGGTCAAAAACTTTCAATCTTTTAAAAATTATTACCCTTATATTAATTATTAATATGTTAAAAATAATTTTTTCATGTAATGTATCAAAATTATTATTCCTTATGATTGATTTAAATTTGTTTCAAGTATTTTGTNTTTACAGTCAACCTATTCCGAATTTTAGAATGTACAAATGAAAAATTCGAAAACACTCTTTCAATGGTAGCACTAGTAGAAAGACATGAGTGTAAATGAGACATTAATTCACAAAATTCTTTGGAAATTTCACAAGAATTTCGCACACTCCACCACCATTTACTAGCATCAACTGTGGCTATAACTTGTTCGGAGAATAATTGTTGATTAACTTACTTATTGTTGTCTAAAGGATGTCCATCGAGGTTCTTAATTAATTAGGCAGATCGTAATTAACAATATTTTATTAACATAAACAACAACAATAGTAAAAGACAGAGCGCCGCATTAAAGCGACCGTATTAATTAGCTCGTACATATCATCTGAAGACGTGGGTGGAAGCGTTACGTAATTCTTTGCGCATGCGCGCGTCTTATATATTCTTTAATTTCTTTTAGTTCTCCACAATAATGTTTTAGGGAATCGGAATGGTTTTTCTTGTAATTCAAAATTCAAGGCACATGAAACAAATTCTCTGGCCTTCTCTTTCTGTACATTGCTGAGAAGATGCCCTTTATATTTTGGGTGTAATAAATAAGCAAGAAGGTGCCAAGGTAAAATTGATTGCACAAATCTTTTTGTTACTTGTATTTTATAAAGCTCTAAATTGTCATCTTCTAACAATTAACACCATATGTGGCAAGCATCTGCTATTGTTGTTGAATTGGTCTGTAGTAAGGCTCCTATACTAAATTATTATTTCTTATGATTGATTTAAATTTGTTTAAAGTATTTTGTAATAATATTTTATCAGCAATTTAGATAATTTGGCTTTTGCCACTGTCCTGGCAAAAACTCCACCACTGAGTTAAGCAGTTTGAATTTTTTTTTTAAATTGCTTGGGAGTGTTTATGAGCTGAACTCTTTTTGTTAATCTCCTTCCCACTATGTTACTGTTTGTGTGGCTCTACCAAGATTTTTTGATGCAAGTATCGATACCGGAATTTACTCATTGAATTTCCTTGTAAAGGATATTACAACTTTTTAAAATTAATCTATTTAAGTTTCAAATAAATATTCATTGTTTAATAATTTTAAATTTGGCTTTTTCATTGTAAAATTAATTTTCTTTTACAATTTCAGATATAACTCTTCATCTTCAAGAAAATCTACTATGAAGAAATTGTTTGGTTTCACATGAAACTTCTTCTCGGAGCCGAATCAATATTTAAGAAGAACTGTTGGATACTACAAATGGAAATCGCACACTATGATGGACAGCTGGGACTTGCATCCTTACAGCAAATGAAGGATATTCAGCAAGGACCACTATAAATCAGCCATGGCGAAAAGTCCTCATGTGACTTTTCGTACACACATTATTAACTGTTGCTGAACATTTCATAAAAGCATTTAATGACTGCTTGGAAATATAATTTCAAGTAAATAAAGACTTACAATTGTCATGGAAAAAAAAGTTATTTTATTTAATAACAATTATGTATTTTTAATTTGTGTTTTACGAAAAGGTTATCGACGTTAATTTTAAACAATGAAGGTAATGTATTGCATTTACAATGGGATGAAGTTCATTTTATAGTGTGTTTTGTTTTTCAATAAAATTATTATGCTGTGAAATAGTTATGTTTATTTTAGATTTTTTTCCCTTTATTACGGTATTGTGTAATTTCTTCTACGACTTTGTAATAAATCTTCAACATTTAAAAAAATTTGATTTGCCAGGTATGATATTTGTACAGATAAAATTTTATAAAATATAACATTAGCAAATCTTTGTAAGTGTTTAAGTGTCATGAAAACAGTTGAACATATTTAAAATTTCGTTATTTTAATCGGTCGGCATGAAACCGGAAGCAATTTTCTTTTAACGCTGATTTTAAAGTTCATCTCAAAATTGTAAGTATTTTTATTATCAGCATTGTTTTTATTATTTTAATTTCAGAAATTTTCACATGATTATTCATTTGAAATTTGAGACAAAAAGCTTGCGTTTTTTATTTTTATCATGTTTAAAATAATATAATTGTAAAATAATTCTAATCGTAAAAATTTCTTTGACTTTAAGCTGAATAACATTTACATTTTAATAAAAATTCCCAATCAATGTAGAAAAGAATAATGCTTAAACTTTCATCTGAAAGGCTTGAATCTTCGTTTTTTTAAAAAAGTTCCATTTAAGACATTTACATATAATGTTATGTTTGTTTTGCTATGTTATTAATGCATAATCTCTTATCAGCAAAATACAAATAATGGAATTGATTGATTTTGAACAAAAATTTTCTGATTGCAACATTCTTAAAAAGTAACTGATAGTAGTCAAACTTTTATCATTAATAGTAAAGGCAACTTATAGTACAAAAAGATGTTATGTTTTTTCGTCTATTCTTGTGTGCAAATTTAATTTTGATAAAATGCAAAATTTACTCCCTTTTTTTGGTTTCGAAATTTGAATGTTACCTAAATTTTTTGGCTAAAATTGTTGGTTAATATATAGTACCTTTAATTATCGAATTGTTAAAAATTTCTGATGTGCCAATTTTGCATTGGGACATCAGAAATTATTTTTTCCTTACAAAATTTTAAATTAAAATTCTTAAAGACTTTCCTGGTCCTTTGAGTTTTGCTTTCAAGTGTTTTGTTAAGTAAAACTTCAGATTCTAAAAGAAAGCTATGTAAGTATTTTTCCATTTAATTTCAGTGAAAAATTTATGCAAGTAAGTAATTTGAATATTTTTAAATTTTCTTTATTGTTTTTATTATTATAAAAGATAACAATTTAAAAATTCAAAATATTATTTTATTTTAATATTTTTGGAAGTGAATGACTAAGTTATAAAGGTAAATTTTCAACTCAAATCAGATGTAAATNAATTTTGCATTTGCACTTCAGAAATTAATTACAAAATTTTAAATTAAAATTCTTAAAGGCTTTCCTGGTTGCACTTCCTGAAAATATTTCTACAGGTGCCTTTGAGTTTTGCTTCCAGTGTTTTGTTAAGTAAAATTTCAGATTCTAAAAGAAAGTTATGTAAGTATTTTTCCATTTAATTTCAGTGAAAAATTTATGCAAGTAAGCAATTAGAATAATTTTAAATTTTCTTTATTGTTTTTATTATTACAAAAGATAACAATTTAAAAATTCGAAATATTATTTTATTTTAATATTTTTGGAGGTGAATGACTAAGTTATAAAGGTAAATTTTCAACTCAAATCCGATGTAAATTTAACTTTAATTATGTAGTGTGATTTTTTATTATATTATTTCAGAATATAAATAATAAATGATAATTGGGAAATTACAAATAGCTTAAGTTACGACTTTCATACAGCATGTTTTACAAAACTAATAAACTCAATTCAGATTTTGATAAAATAGGCTTATCTCCAAAAAAATATTAAGAATACATTTTAAAATTAATGAAAAAGCTAACATAAAACTGACGGATTTTACATTGTACTGATATTTTGTATAAAAAAGTTCAATAAAGAAGGAAACGTAAAATAAAACTTTTTTTATTCGATTTGGGGGAAATTCTAATGTGGGGGCCAGGTGCAACTGCCCCTGCCTTATCAGGTTCAGTATACAGAACAGTTGCAAAAACACAAGATATATATTTGATTTCAGTGAGAAATGTTTCCAATGAATTAGAAGTTGTTAAAAATGTTTTCAAAAGTAATATCAATTAATAAAAATAATATAAGCAATACAATAAAAATTAGCAATAAAATAAACCAAAGACTATTTTTGGTAATACACATAAAACATCAAAAACCTAACTTAGTCTCCATGTGGGTCAACATTAAGCAAACTGTAGTAAAATGCTTGTTTAAAACATTTTTTTACAGGTACTTGGACAGAATTAGGTTAATTAACTGTAAAAAATAAAATAAAAATTGACGAAGAATTAAATTGCAGAAATATTTTTAAAAAAATACTGATTGATGCAAATCTTCAGCATAAGAACCATGTCTTGGACATACCACGCCTAAAACTTAGTTAATATCAATATATAATTGTTAGAGTAGAATTGAAGGGTAGAGAGATCATTACACTTTCTTCCAGAAGTCAGCTGCCTTATAGAATAGTTTAGTTCAAAAACAGCTATTTTTATTCTGCCCATGTTTGTAATAAAAAACAAGTATCTGTTAGTCCTATAACATTTTGCAAATTAGAATTCTTGTTTTTAATTAATTTTTGCTGAAATGTTCAAATAATTCACAGACACACATTTTACACTAAAATGATCATTATTCATATGTTTGAGCCGAATTTTATTGTTTTAAATGTAGTAATAAATTGCTGATTTTTTATTATTTAACTTGTTGCGTTAAATTGCATTTTGTAAGTGTTATTTTTTGCTAAATGACATGTTAATTAACTTTAATGAACCTGAATTAGTAAGCTTTTAAATTGCTTAGAATTATTCATATCTCAAATTTCTTTTATTATTCATTTGTACATATTAAGTTAAGATCTGTGAAAATATGTCTTTATTTTCGTTCTAGAACACGGCTCGTCAACCATAACTACCAGTAAAAATATTAAGTATCGTTTCACTAGTATATAAGACATGTAAACTTAATTCTATATTGAGGTACCTTTTGATAATTGAAGGTTGACATACTCAATAATTATATCCTCAATGAGTCATAGCAGTGACACTTGAAAACTTATTGAAAAATTACAAAATAAACTATAAAAATCCCACTTGAAATTGAATTTTCAAAATTTGCATCAACAAATAATTCTTCATGTTTACAAAATTTGGCAAACATATACAATTGAATGCTTTAATTAACACAACAAAAATGTGAACAAACTTTTACAGACATAATAAATTCAATAAACATCTAATTTTGTTAGAAACTTCAAGAACTACTAATATAGATAACTTGTTAAAAAAATAAAATTAATAAATAAAAAAAAATTATTAATCACTAACTGTTTAGTAACAGTTTTGAATTAAATAATTTACTTATTCAACTATTTATGCATAACATACTGACTAAATTTTTAAAATGTTTACTAACAACAAAACCTAAATTTGTATTTTTGTTTTAATCATATTTCTTCTACTTAAACTTGAATAAAAAAAGAATTATTTAAATACATAAATCCCATTATAGTTTTAAAACTGACATTTGTATATTTTTTAGAATGTTGGAAGAGGCTTGCATAATTTTCTTTTAGTCAGTAGCATTCTTCCCTGAAAAGGTTGGCCATCCAATTTCTTATATCGGGTTGTTCGGAAAGTAATTTCGTTTTTCCAACAGAGGATTTAATTGTATTTTTTCTGACCTAACTTTACACTTAAGCCGCATTATCATTATATGTTTTGAGAGCTGATATAGCAAGGCTTGTGTGTAAAAAAGTAAGGCTTGTGTGTGAAAAGAATTAATTCTATGCAGTAGTTTTTGGTTGGTGCCCTTCTAAATATGGAGAGAAATAAGCAGCATTTTAGTCATATTTTACTTTTTTACTACAGAAAAGGTAAAAATGCTGTTCATGCCAGAAAGAAATTAACCAATACGTATGGAGAAGATGTGTTGACAGTACGCCAGTGCAAGAAATGGTTTGCAAAATTTCAATTCGGCAATTTTGATGTCGAAGATGCACCACGTTCTGGAAAGACGGCTGAAGCTGATGAAGATATGATAAAGGCATTAGTTGATGCAAATTGGTGAATAACAACGAGTGAGATTGGTGAGAGGTTAAATTTATTGAATTTACCTGTTTATGACCACTTGAAAGCCCTGTGTCTTACCTCAAAACTCGATATATGGGTTCCCCATGTTCTTACGGAGAGAAATTTGTGACGTCGCGTTGCCGTCTATGATTCGCTTCTCAAACGTCACGAAAATGATCCATTTTTGAAGCGCATCATTAATGGGGATGAAAATTGGGTTGTCTAAAACAATGTCAAATGCAAGAGATCATGGAGCAAAGGTGATGAACCGGCTCAGAGCATTTTGAAAGCCAATATCTATAAAAAAAGGTTATGTTGTCTGTTAGAAGGGATTTTAAAGGAATTACTATTCTTCTTTTTTGAGCTTTTACCGGATAACACAACAATTAACTCTAAGTCAACTGTCGTCAGCTGGACAAACTGAATGATGCACTTCAACAGAAAAGGCCAGAATTAATCAACAGAAAAGGTATAGTGTTCCACCAAGATAATGCGAGACCTCATACAAGTTTGGTCACTCGCCAAAAGCTTTTACAGCTTGGGTCACGTGAGGGTTAAAAGATTCCTGATTTTATAATGCTAATAACCAGTCACATAAAATTTTTTTTTATTTAATTATGAGCAATCAAACTTTGTAAATGTCATGTTCGCAGCATGCACAATACTGTGAAATCACCCTACTTTCAGAAAAATCATAGCTATCCAAGCGAAATAGACACACTCCCAGAAAGAATAAAAAACTGGGATGTGTAAGTTTTTATTAACCTGTGACCCTTTTGCATCAAAATAATACAATACATGTGCATATTTTTTGTAATTTCAGTGAACACTTGCAAGTTTTTGACACACACCCTAACCTATTCTTATTTACATGACTTAAAACACACATATCATAATTCATATTCACTTATTTTAAAATGCTTACAATTTTATTCTTCTTGCAATTTAAAAATCACATATGGGGTAATCGGATTATTTAAAAATCACACAAGGCAATCTATACACACATGTTTCAAAAATCACGTATGGAAAACAAGTTACTGTTAAGTTTACTACAACCCACATCAACAGCTTCTGTAGAAATCTCATTGATTAACATTATGAAGCATGAAAATATCTTAGATATTCAAGTACAAGCTGACTTACTTTAAAATGATAGTTTCATAAGTAAAATCATGAATAAAAAAATATGTTTGATTTTTTTCTCTATATATACAATCCTTTCAAAAAATTTTTCCAAATAAAAGTGGTCGATTTAAATTGACAACTTTAGTCAACTGACTTAAATCACTACAACTCTGCTTGCATCACTACAGGAGACATTTATTTGCACTACTTGTCAATTTTTATAGAAATCTCTTTTTTGTTTATTTTGCAGTAGTCTTTAAAAGAATCCTGAAATTCTCTAAATGGAGGACCTGAACTTACAGTAGCTGGAATGTCTACATGATCTTCAAAACGAAAAAGTTTAATTTCTTCAAATAGCAATTCATCAGGCACCACATTGTGTACAAACCTCTCAAGTTTAAGTTCACTATCTGTTTTACAACGCTTAGATTTCATATAAATATCAACACATTTGTCCAAGGGCTCCAAAAGCAAAATATCCAATTCTTGCTTTAAGAGTCTTAAATAAATAACATTTTTTGTGAACAAATTTCTTAAATCTTCCCTGAGAGGTCGTAATTCATAAAATACTAAATCATCTTGGTAACATCGTTTTTTGCGACGGAATAAAAATTCTTCTGGCACATTGAGATAATGAGATAAACAAGAATTTAATGGCTGCACATAAGGGATAATCTTTCCATCTTCAGTCTTTTGTCGATTTATTATATAGTCAGCTACTTGAGTATCAAAAACATTAACCAATTTAGTATTGTAACAATGAAACAAGCAATCAGAGACTTCTCGAGAATCGTGAACCACTTTCTCTATCTTAGGATCCTCCAGAATATCCTTAATTCCTTTAGTAAAAGCATATTCGCCAAGAGTGAAAATATCAATTAAAAAAGTACAGCAAGAAGTGGCTATGCATAGCCAATGCAAAGTTTCATTCCGTCTTATCTTAGGACTTTCCAAAGAAATTCCTATTACATCTTGTTGGCGGAAATGTTGTATACAGTAGTCAAAGTTCTCATCAAATTCGTTTATAACGACATTGTCTAATGGCAAGATTTTACATAAAGATGGGGGTAAATCAAACGTGTATACTCTTTCCTCGGAATCTAATTCTGAGCATAGTTCAGATTCATTAATAGAGGAAGTTTCGTCGGATTCATCATCGAAAATAGTTGGTCTTAGGTCGTTTCGTTCGTAGAAGCCTCTATAGTTGTTAGTTAAAGATTCTGAAATATTTGAAGATTCTGATCTACCGATCACGTCGAAAGATATTATTTCCTTAGCTCTAAAAGTCAAGGTACCCAGTTTTCTATACTTGGGTAACCAAACAGCATTGGTTATAACTATGAGCTGAATTTCGGGAACAATTCGTGATATAGTGCCTTCATAATCCCCTTCTCCAGTTAAAAACTTAATTCTATAGTTTTCAAGAGCCAACAATGAATTTATTATATTCATGATTTAAAACGAATCAAAATTGAGTATTGAGTATAGTTAAGTGCTGCGAGTTCTCTGCTTATCGCTTATAGCTCTGCGTTTTGAATCAAAATAATATTTGTTTACTTATTGAAATTACATACATTTGCACACTTGAGTGCTCAATTCAGGCTTATAAACCTTTGTCAAATAGATAAACAGATAGCACAATGGATGGTTGACCCAGTAAAGCTAAGCACAGATGGCGCTAGATGTTAAAACGCACCGCAACACTTCCGGGTTACTATTTCCGATAGATTTTTACGCCTGTGCTTGTAAAGACGCAATAGACGTAGTATTTACAATATAATGCATGATTTACATTTAAATTTCAATGAAACAAACAACAAGTTCATAGGCTACACAAGCTTGCTGCGCCTTAGCGAATTTAGTTGGCGTCACTGATCACGATACCCTTACGAAAAAATTGAGGTATATTTGAGCTGTAAGAAATAAATTTTTTAAAGGTATAAATGGGGTTGTTATTTAAATACGTCGTTAGGTTGAAAAGGGGGAAAATTAATATCTCCAAATTTACCTTCAGATATATATATATGTATCAACTTGAGGTGTTTCATCTGTGGAGAGGTATATATTTACTACTTTAAGATGTCTCGTTTTCAACCATACCCAGATAGCAATATAAGGTTTTTTCAACACAACAAAAATCTTTTCATGTAAACTTAAAAAGGTTTTTTTACACGGTTTACGTGTAAACCTTCTAACCTTAAAACGAGGTCTGTGACAATCTGCTCTATTCTACGCACATTACCCTAATCCAAAATCTTGGAAAACAACCTTCAACATAACAACCTTAAAACGAGGTTGTCTTAGGGTTTTCAAGCGGGAAAAAAAACCTTGAATAAAGCTAGTTCTAAGATGAAAATCATCTTAAATCTACATAATTATAAGGTTTCCGTTTGCAGCGTTTTCGTATGCTCAGCTAAAATCTACCCTGTCATAAGATTTTCATTGACAATGCAATTTAATGCTATTGCTAGTGTACGTCAGCTAAAACGTCATTCTGAACGTGATGTCATCTCTCCCACGATTGTATGACAGCGCGTTTTATTATTTGTTTTATATTTTTCTTCTTATAGCTTCTCAGTCCGAGGTAAATTCTCCTTTCCATCAATTTTGCTTGATTATTTTGGGGGAAATAGTCATTTTTAATCAGTCTAACTTACTTTGCTGTAAGAACTGAGCGAAAAAATTCCAAATATTTCTTCTTTGAGCTAAAAAAGAATGTTTGCATATTTCCCTACGTATAAGAAATTTCCTTGTTCATGAAGTTTATAAATATTGTTTTTATATTTAAATTTTAAACTCACTTCTTTAATACTGATTTTTATTTTAAAGTTCCTGTTAAAATTGATAATCACCAGGAAGTCATTAAAAATGATAAAAATTAAGATTTAAATGCTAAAATAGTTCAAATTTTTGTTCAACAAAATAAGAATGTTAAAAATATTTGAATTTTTTTTTTTTT